CCCCAAAACCCCAAAACCCCAAAACCCCAAAACCCCAACTTTTGCCTTATTCCCCTCCCAAAATCCCCTTCTGTTCATATATTTTAATCTGTTTCCCTAGAAGACCAGTAGTACCACTAGAGGGTCTACTATCAGCCTTGACTTAAACTTTAGGAATATTGACCATGTTGATATTAAACATCAAGCTCAGGAAAATAAGATGAAATTAAAGCCTCCGACAAACGATAAGCTCAAGAAAGCTTCTAAAAGCATCTCTAACCCTCCAAAACCCGGCTCAACCAAAGAAAATCATTTTAGTAAAGGAAAGTGCACTCACCAGTTCAACCAAATTATTCAAAACCTGAAAGAGAAGGCCAATAATCCACCCGAAAAATTCCAAAATATAAAGAACCTTGCCTAAACAAAAGAATGTTCGTGACCCGCAACAAGTCTTCCCAAGCCAATCCTGGCTTCGAAAAACAAGGAAGAAAAGAAAAGGAAATGATCCGATTCACTGAAAAACAATGTGGCCTCAAAGTTAACCTTTGCAAGTCTTGGTGATCCTGTAACCATTAAAATGGTAAAATTATAAATAATGTCAAGACGATTTATCAGAAGAATCCTTATGTGGACAGATATGACCTAGAGACTTTGGAGATGGTCATCTCCCTGGTATCTGATTTTCTTGGCCTAAAGGCAAATTTTCAATTAGATAGTGACCTCTTTAGTACTGAACAAGATAAAAGGGCAGAAATCGCAAGTACTTCATGGGACAAAAGAACTCAACCTCCCAAGATAAGAGTGGTCTTAGAATCGAAAATAAAGAATGTTTTCTTCAAGAAGATCTTTAATGAAGATATGAAGAAGCATAACACAATGGAGACACCTGATAAAGATTTGAAAAATTTCTTCCAAGACCAGTCTGGCACCACAGTGTATAATAAGACCTCTAAAGAAAAGCCTCTAAAACTTCGGATCACTCAAAGCAGCAGGCCAGGAGACTTCAACAATGAAGAGAGTGATTCAGAAATTGAAGCAGCTTTCTCCTCCTATAACGAAGACGCTTTGGAAAAGAATGCCGCAATATTGCCAAAGTTCAATTTTATTACAAAGGGGAATCTAGATTCTATCCAAGATTCAATAAGAAAAGGACATACTTCACGTAATTCCTCCTTCCATATTGAGGAGAGCAAGTTAGATCAGAATTCAAGGCAGAGAAGGCTTGACTATAAGACCTAGCTGTAAACCACAATTTAAATATTCTATTTCAATATTTTCCAAGGAGCTAGGGGTTTTGGGGTTTTGGGGTTTTGGGGTTTTGGGGTTTTGGGGTTTTGGGGTTTTGGGG